CAAAAAATTTGAGATCCTATTAGGAAAACAACTAAAGCAAAAAGAGCTGGAGACATGGCTCAAGAATTAGAACACCAACCAGGCACTGGTGGTTCATACCTATAATCCTAGCTACTCAGGAGGCTAAGATCTGAGGATCGTGGTTCAAATACAGCCAGGACAGGAAAGTCCGTGAAACTCTTATCTCCAATAAACCACCAGCAAACCAGAAGTGGCACTGTAGCTCAAGTGGTAGAGTGCTAGCCTTGAGCTGAAGAGCTGAGGGACAGTGCTCAGGCCCAGAGTTCAAGCCCCATGAACGACCAAAAACAACAACAACAACACAAGAATTAGAACACCTACTCCAACCCATCTGTACATCTTTTTTTTTTTTTTTTGGCAGTTGTGGGCTTGAACTCTGGGCCTGGGCACTGTCCCTGTACTCTTCAGCTCAAGGCAAGCACTCTAACACTTGAGCCACAGTGCCACTTCTGGTTTTCTAGTGGTTTATTGGATATCAGAGTCTCATGGACTTTCCTGCCCGGGAAAGTGTGGTGCTTTACAGCCATAGCTCGGCTCTGGCTCCCCTCCTCCCCCTTGCAAGTGGTTAAATGAAAATCAAAGTCTCAGCCTTTCCTGCCCAGGCTGGATTCAAAATGAAATCTTCAGATCCTAGGCTCCTGAGTAGCTAGAATTACATGAGCCACCAGCACCAGCAGAGGTCTCTATTGAAGAGATGATTGACCACCTTGATTTTGCTCTGAGCTATTTTTCTTTCTCTTTCTTTTTTTCTCCTCTCTTCCTTCCTTCCTTCTTTCCTCCCTCCCTTCCTTCTGTTAGGTTTTTAAAAAGAGGTATCCGAGTAAGAACAGCAGCACTCACATGGTATTCAGGTAAGGGGTAGGTTTATTCAGTAGACCTGCTGGGACCGAGCAAGGTTGGCACTCCACGTGGCTGGAAAAGGCCTGGGAATGAGAGAGAGCTGGGAAAGAGAGGAAAGAGCTAGAAAAGAGCAGAGAGAGCTAGAAAAGCAGAGAGGAACAGAGAGGGCGCCTGGGCCTGGGCTAGGCCTTATGTAGGGTATGGGCAGAGAAAGGTGTGGCCAAATCAAATTCAGATGTGACCTCAGCAGATGCAGATGTGACCTCTTCCAGGTGTCCCAGTTGCCTAGGTAACGCAGGTGCTGGGTGAAGACTTTGCTGCGAGGAGGGTGGAGTCTGCTAGCCATCCAGGAGCGGACCTTACACCTTCCTTCCTTCCTTTCTTTCATCAGTGGTGAGGCCTGAACTCTGGGCCTGGGCGCTGTCCCTCAGCTCTTCAGCTCAAGGCTAGTGCTCTACCACGTGAGCCACAGAGTCACTTCTGGCTTTTTCTGTTTATGCGGTGCTGAGGAATCGAACCCAGGGCCTCATGCGTGCAAGACAAGCACTCTACCACTGAGCCACCTTCTCAGCCCACTATCTTTCTATCACTTATGGGGCTTCAACTCAGGCCCTGGGCACTGTCCTTGAACTTTTTCACTCAAGGCTATCATTTTACCACTTTGGTCACAGTGCCACATCTGGTTTTGGACTGGTTAATTGGAGATACAGGTACCTCTTTGCCTGGGCTAGCTTCGAACTGCAATCCGCAGAATCTCAGCCTCCTAAGTAGCTTGGATTACCAGGTGAGCCACTGGTGCCCAGCATAAGTGATAGGCTTTTCAAGACGGGAACAGTGCTTAGTTCATTGTCTTGAGGTTCATCCCTCAAGTGATGAAACCAGGTTTCATAGGTGAAATCAGGTTTAAAGCCCAGGGACCAAAGTCCAGGTGTCCTAAGTTAAGTTTTGTCATTTTCATATGCCAAATAGACATGATGAGGGTAGAGCACAGAGATTACTATGGTAGCTATGGAAAGAAGCTTCAGTACATCTTCAGGCATCTTCCTGGGGTACAGACACTGGCTTCAGGTTAAGTAGGGAGAACTGGGGGCCAAGAGTGAGAAAGGTAGACGTAGTTTAAAATAGTCCCAAATTACAGGTGGGGCTTGGTTGATCTTTACCTCAGTCCTTTTCTCTGGAGGAATTCCAGAGAAGTTATCACTTTATTATTATAACAGAATAGGAAGAATAAGGTCCTCCTGCATTTCTGGCTGTTTTTAGTAAGAAGGTATTGGCTGAAGGAGCAGCTTGTCTTCCTTACAAGATGCTTACCATTCAATCTTCTCTTACCTCCTAGAACCCAAGGTGATTGCAAAGGGTCTGCACACAAAGTGCACAGGTACAAAGTTGGAGGAATTCTAGTTAAAAGTCACAGGACTCAGCAAAAACGTCTTTTAAGTTGCTTGTGACATCAAGTGCTCCATGGCTCAGAACAGCTTTGTTTTCTAGCACTTCTTGGCCTTTTTTTTTTCTTTCTTTTTTAAAGGGCCTCACTTTCTTGATTTTTTGCTAATGGACCGTGATCTACTACTAGAGACACTCCTCCACATTCTGCTTTAAGGTAGCTAATTGGAAGGAAGTAAGTGTCTCAGATTTGTTTGCCTGGGCTTGCTTTGAACTTCAGATCTCACTTTTCTGAGTAGCTAGGAATTACAGGTTTGAGCTACCTGTGCCTGGCTAATCCTTGTCTTTTCAGCTTCTTTTTGGTCTGTCTTGCTGGCACTGAGCAGCCCTTTAGTTGGCTGTGGTGTTGGTACAACAGAAGTGGGGAAATGGAACAGGAAGAGGGGTGGGAGGGACAGCAAAGCAAAGGCAGTTCACAAGACAAAGCCCCCAACCCAAACTTCTTCTTGATGTAGCTCCACCCACCAACCCATCTCACTAAGTCAAATCCTGTTATTTCCTCACTCTATTCCAGTGGTTGCTTTTTTTTTTTTTTTTCAGTTGTGGGGCTTGAAGTCTGAGCCTGGGCACTGTCTCTTAGCTCTTCTGCTCAAAGCTAGTGCTCTACCACTTGAGCCACAGTGCCACTTCCCGCCTTTTCTGTTTATGTTGTGCTGAGGAATGGAACCCAGGACCTCAAGCATGCAAAGCAATCACTCTACAGAGCCACCTTCCCAGCCCCAGAAAGATAAATTTCTTAGGGTAATTTTTAACCAGCTTGTTGATTGTAAATAGCCATAGAAAGAATAAGATAGAAAAGCAATAAAGAAGAAAGAAAAAGAGAGAAAGAAAAGAAGTAAAATACACAAGTATTCACCTGGTCTTCTACCTCAACTTTCAGCTTTTGTTATGATGATTGACTTGGTCTATTCTTCTACCCTACCCTCCAGTTTCCTCAATCTGCATAATAGAAGTCTAAAAAAGTCTCCTACTAAGAAGAGGAAGCCAATGGGCAGAAACCAGGAATGCAATCTTTTTGTCTCATAATTACAGATTTCTAATTCAGTTTCTAAACAGCCTTTATATAGATTCCAGACTATAAAAGAGCAGGTCTACAGGGGCAAGAATGGCCTTGAGATCTTACCTCCAATAAACTAACCCCCCAAAAAAGCCAGAAGTGGAGCTGTGGCTTGCTCAAGTGCTAGAACACTAGCTTTAAGAAACTCAGGGACTAGCCGGGCGCTGGTGGCTCACGCCTGTAATCCTAGCTACTCCGGAGGCTGAGATCTGAGGATCGCGGTTCAAAGCCAGCCCGGGCAGGGGAGACCGTGAGACTCCTATCTCCAACCACCAGAAAACCGGAAGTGGCGCTGTAGCTCAAGTGGTAGAGCGCTTGCCTTGAGCTGAAGAGCTGAGGGACAGTGCCCAGGCCCAGAGTTCAAGCCCCACGACCGACAAAAAAAAAAAAAAAGAAACTCAGGGACCATCCAGGTCCTGGGCTCAAGCCCCAGGACCAGCACCAAAAAAACAAACGCAAAAACAGCAGGTCATAACATAAGAACTATCAGCTTCCAAGAGCAACCTTTTGGAGTGGGCTTGGGGAGATGGCACCAGTGTCCAGATGTTGCAGATGAATGCTTCTTGTACTCAACATTTAGAAATCCTTCGAAAACAAAAATATTTAGAGTTGGGCAAACTTGCAATCCCAGCACTACTAAAGCTGAGGCAGGAGAATCTCACCTGGTTACATATTGAAGCCCTGCCTCAATAAACAAAACTAATTTTGCAGTAACTCAAAGGACATCATTTGCAGAGTGTCTTTCCCAGAACGGGATATGAATCTATGATCTAAGAACAGCAACCCCTTACCTATACTCACTTTACACTAATACATATAACAGGCATGTTTATAACTGTATACTTCCAATATGATTGTCAAATTTGAATGTAGAGCATAAAAAATTCCAAGAGTTGGGTTTGAAATCAAGGTCTCACACTTGCTAAGCAAAGCCCTCGACCACTTGAGCCATTTCCCTCCAACTTTGCATTGTTTTAATTGTTATTTATTTTTTTGTGCGGGCTCTAGGGCTTGAACTCAGGCCCTGGGCATTGTCCCTGAGTTTTCTTACTTAAGGATAGATAAGGGACAGTACCCAGACCTTAAAAGTTCTAGCCCAGGACGGGCACCTACTACATAAGTATCTAGGACTAAAGAAGCTCGGTGGTAGAGCGCTTGCCTACCATGTACAAGGCCCGGCATCGATGCTTAACACTGCAGTGAAAAATCAAAATGTGTTCCCCAATCTCAAGAATCCATACTTAGAAATGCCCCCGAGGGGAGCAACCTACAGCGCTGCGGTGTGGTTGGGACGAGGACTGGTCTCCAAGGGGTGAGTAGGAGTTCAGGTGAATCGCTGGGCTGAGGAAGATTGGTCTTCGTAGGTCAAGTGGGGCGCTGGGCAGGTGAAGGCCCGGATGGGAGTGAAGATGGGGTTGAGGTGTGGAGGGTGGGAGGGGCGGGGCCAGCGGTGGGCGGTCTGTCCGGGCCGGGCGTCACGAAGACCCTCCGCCGGCCCCGCCCTCAGGTGCCCAGGGCCAAAGCCCCGCCAGCGGGGGTTCCGTTCGCCCTCAGTGGAGGCCAGACGCCAGCTCTCGCGGGATCTGCGCCTCGCTCGGCTCGACGACTGCGACCGAGACGCCGCGGGAGTCGTGTAGCGATGGTTTTCTTCTTACACGCGGCGCAGGCGCCCCGTAGCCTGGCCCTTCCCGACGCTCAGGACGATGCCCTGGGTGCCCGCGTGGTGCAGGTGAGCTCCCGGACCGGGCAAGACGGGGCGCGACGCCGTCGTCGGAGCTGTGAGGAGACTCGGCGTGCGCGCGGGGAAGGCGGACGGGGCGTCGGAGGGAGCGGTCCGGCCTGGCGCCCCGGCGAGGCGGC